AACTCCTTGTGGGTCAGCTTCCTGACTGGGGATTGAACTCATTTTGAAGTGGCTAGTTATACTTTGGTAGTACTGAGACTTAACCCCTATGCCACCAGGGAAGCACTCCAGTCTATTTTTAACATTGCTACCAAAGTGATTTTTCTAGAACACCAACCAACCATACTACTTCCCTGTTTAAGGTATTCAGTGATACTCCTCAGAGATGGTTTTTGCATTTTGGTAGGACAAAGTCTTAGCATTTTAATAGGAGCTAGTCTTTGCTTCCGTTGGCTGTCTTCATCTCCTGTCACTTCTTGGATCGCAAGTCTTTGTCTAGAATCTTGTTCTGCCCCCACAACTTTGCATGTCCTCCACTGTGTTAGTACCTTGCTCTTTATCACTATCATAACCTCCATTTATTCTTCAAAACTGTTCAGGCTTTACCATTCTTGGCCGCCCTGGTGTAAATTGCCAAGCAATTTTAAAACATTTTTTCTGTTTTAATTCTGTATCATAAGAATATTTTTATGTTGTTTATGTCACACTACATAAATTACATATTTGTATGTAATCCTTACCTACTAGAATATGAGTACTTGAGGAAAGGCTGAGAAGTTTGGTCTTTCTAATGCTCACAGCTCTTAATGTGTTGAACTGAATTGCTCTGTTGAAACCAGATCTGAGCCAATACTTCAGTTGTAAAAAAAATTATGTGGGAGAAAATAACATTTGTGCAAGTAATCAATAAATTCTTGCAAGTTAGATAGTTTTTGAAATATAAGACAAACAAACAAATAACCTCCCTGAGGTTTGGGTTCATCAATTATTTGTTTACTTCTAGCCAATGTACAAATGGAACTGTGACATGTGATGAATCAGCAACGCCCTCTACTGGTAAGAACCAGATAATTGTTTTCCTAAAGGAGAATCTGATGCTGCACTGTCCCTACTCTTCGGCCAAAACCCATTAATCCATTAAACCATTCTTGAGGTGTGCATGAATATAGAGAGTGTTTCTTAACACAGAACTCCTATATTTACCGAGGTTTTTTTTTTTTTTTTTTTTTTGCATTAGGAATAATTGTACATGCCCTATAGTCTGGGGTGAACACATAAAGTTGCCGAGGGGCAGAGCTGACTAATCCGGGTTGTGCCTACCCCAAGAATTCTCCAGGTGCCAAGAGCTTTGGGGATATATATTCAGGGATCTGTGTAACCCACATATGCAACAGCAGTTGCAAAACTCTATGGTGAACTCCCGCTTTCCAGGTTTTAATGTGCACATAGCCACTTGGGGTGTTGTTGAAATATTGATCTGAATTGTTAGGTCAGGGGTGGCTCCTGAGATACATGAGGCTGTAGACCCAGCAGTCATCACTTAAAAAAGGCATGTGAAATCACCTATTTTTAGAATATCATTTTAATTTGCATATCATTCCTGAAGATATAGGGAGATCCTATGTGTTACTTCTTTTTCACCATATAAAATGTCTCAAAATTTCTGTCATGATTGAAGAATTCTAGGAAAATGATATCACATTCTTTTTTTTTTTTTTAAAGATTTATTTATTTGTGCATACAGAACTGGGGTGCAGGCCAGAGGCTCAGGGGCGGTGAGAGGCTTCACCAGAGACAGAGTGGGGAGCAGAACAGGCAGATCGACGAAGTACATTGCTGAGTGGAGAGCGGGCCGGTCAGGAGAGGTCTGCCATGCCATGTGGTCACCTCCAGGGCAGGCGGGAATCGAACTCATGCGGAAACGGCTTTAGATTCTCAGTGCTGTGCTTTAACCCGCTGCGCCACCAGGGAGGGCCATCACATTCTTTTTTAATAGACAGGGAGTATATAGGCTGATAAAATGAATTGGGAGCTACTGCTTTTTAATTTACATGGCCATGTATATATTATCAAAATTTAGCTTCGAGTGTGCTCTGCATTCACTCTGAAGGGAATTTAGGCTGTCTAGGAGTTCCTTACATGGCATGTTCTGGAGTCACTTACCAGTCAGTAGTTAATGGCCATCCCTACCTTACCCCTTCTGCTTCATGGCACCTCAAAGTTGTTGAAGGGGAGCCCACCAGCCAAACTTTTCAAAGAAAAATCTCTAAGAATTGATACCTTTACTCCAATTAAGGGAACTATTTAATCACCATGAGCCTAAAAACACTTATGGGAATATGTATTCCTTACTTTGTCTATAGTTGTGACCATTTTTATACTTCTACATGACAGTGAGTACTAATAAAAATAATGACTCAGAGGAGAAGCAAGATCTAAGAGTATCATGCATTATTGTAAATTTGATAAAAAGTTTATGTGGTATTTTCAGTTCTCACACACATACTGTGTATATGTGTATACACACACACACACACACACACATATGATTATTTAAAATGCCCTTTTTCTTGATCTCAGAGAATCATATACTAGTTGGTGAATTATTGCCTCAGGGAAGGTAACTAACATTTTCAAATTCAAAATAGGTCTTGAAATTGTAGGTGAATGAATAGAATCTGGTCCTGGAATGTTTGTAAGCCCATCAATTAAAGATCACAAAGTAAAATAAACACACATACAAAATGAAAAATTCATGGTAACTGGTAAAATATTGAATGGTGAGTTGTGTTTTGATGACAAATGCATGTAAATATTATTATTTGTCTATAGAGAGAAGACAAAGTTAAGGGTTTTTTTTTTTTTTAAAGATTTATTTATTTATGCTTTCAGAACTGAGGTACAAGCCAGAGGAGTGGTGGGTGAGAGGATTCACCAGAGACAGAATAGGGAGCAGAACAGACAGATGTACTGAAATACACTGCTGAGGGGGTAGGGCAGGAGAGGTCTACTACGCCATGTGGGTCAGCTCCCTGGCAGGGGATCGAACTCATGCTGCAGTGGCTTCAGAGAGCTTCATAATGTGGTGCTTTAACCTGTTGTGTCACCAGGGAGAGCCCTAAGGATATTTTATCTTTGTCTTGTCTCTGAAGTTCCTGCCTGTCCTGAGGGAAAACAGTATTTCGACTGCAGGTTTCCTGACCCTGAATTACCAGCTGGGGGTATAAATTGTGAGACAACATGTGCAAACCTGGCCATGAACTTCACTTGTGCCCCGTCCTCACCCTGTATCAGTGGCTGTGTTTGTGGTCCAGGGTAAGCCTCTCTTTTCATAATGCTATTCAGAATCTGATGGAAAACACAATGCTCTGAAAAATCTTATTCATAAAAACAGCGTAAGTTATCATATTGACATGGTTAACTTTGAGTTGATCATTAGAAGATGATTGTAGTTCTTATGCTATGCTCATTAACCTATTGCAAATGTTATATGAGATATCACACCTTATATATCACATAATGTGATTACCTTATATAGCATATATTTGTAATTTATTAATTTAATAAAATTAAATTAATAAAATTTTAAATTAATAAAATTAAATTAATAAATTGCTCATGGACTTGACATTTATCTACTGATTCAACTGCCATTTTAGATAAGAGATAGTATACCACTTTTAACTTAAAACACTTCCCAAGTGCTTATCATTTGTATATTATGCTGTGCTGTTTCTATTGATGTATAATACTGATGTCATTGTTTTGTGTAATGAATGCTACAGAAAACAATGTGTTGAGTCTACTGGAATGCTGGGTAACCGGGGAGTTATGGATTTCGACACACAGAGTTCAATCAATTTTGCTGATGTTAGCACAGTGATTTTATTCCTGCAAGTTTCTTTTAAACCTCATTAGGCATTTTGAGTTGTTATTGTGTGAGAGTGTGTTTGTGTGTGTGTGTACTCAATAAATGAGTCACTATTTTATGATAGCATAATCTACTTTCATCCTTGTAAATCTCCAAGAGTAGAAAGAATGCTTAGTACATGTGAAAGGTAAATATGGAATCCAGGCACGCACTCACCAGGTCTCGCTGGCCCTCTTTCTTCTGGTAATGAGTAGATGCGGTGCACAGAGGGAGGGCCACCCAAGGCAAATAGGTCACCCATTCTCGGTGAACATATTCACACAAAGGGATTCCTGGGCTCAGAGCACATAAACTCTGAGCAAAGAAGAGAGACTTTCTGTGGTCTGTTTCCCAGGAGAGTTGCATTTTTCTGAATGGCCCCCACTTGGACTAGGTGAAAAAGCCAAGTGACTTGGAACTGAATCATTTTCTTTAGAAAGGTAAGACATAGGAGCTTGAGAGAACAAATGCCCATGCGTGGGAAAATAAAGGCAGGTAGAAATCTCAGAGATCTCATAGAGCTGATGAGTCAAGAAGATATTTTAGTGAAAAGGGTGAAGGAAATAAAGCTTTTCTCACAGTAACATAATTGGAGCCTACATCATTGCTTGTTTGATTTGATTGGGTTACAGTTCTTAAGGATTCATGGCTGATTAGATGAAGCCACATCCTAATTTTATTTCATCTGCTTGTGGTTGATGCCATTATTTAAAAAATTATATTTACCATCACCTTTGACTTATAGTTTGACAATAATTTATTTATTTGCTTGACAAATCTCATTACAAAAACTTAAAGAAATTTTCTCCCACCTTCTCTTACAGTATTAAATAAATATAGTTGTAATTGACTGAGAGGCCTCTCACTGATTTGGAAATAATTCTATTATATAGAAATTTTATAATTATAAAAGTATTATAAATTACAAAGTCGTTCATAAATTATAAAATACTATACAATTGTTTGTGGTAATGCGGTTAAGATTCATTGCAACCTTGGTGTACTTATTTTAAGGCAATAAGACAAATATTCCTTTTTTCATTGGATTAATAATAGTGCCAGCAATTCACTGAGGATCAGAGGCTGCCAGTCTTAGTTCAGAAATCTCTGTAGATCAAAAAAATGAAGAGTCATATAGAAATGGATTCAAATATTAGCCCCCCTTCATTTAGCTGAAGTACTTTGGGGCAAGTTACCTAACAAATTGGACCCTCACTTGTTCTTTAAGTCTTTTTCCAAAATAGCTCACTTGACCCAGAAATTTAGCCTTCTCCTTTTATTTTATTTGTACTGATAGCAGAAAGTTAAACCATTGCATCAATCAGTTGCAAATGTACATACCTGCCATTTGTTTACTACTGTGATATACAAGGTGCTCTGGAAAAGAGGGAACCTCTGGACTCAACCTTGCCTTGGGCTAGATGGAGAATGCTCATGGGAGCTCTAATTCCATGGAGATGGTTTTAAAATGAGAAGATCACTGCCTTTTTTTATTTTAAACTGAAATTATTAGTTTACATTAAAGTATTTACTTCTTCATTTGGAAGACTGGCAGAACACAAAGGAAAATGTTATGTTCCTGAAAGCTGTCCGTGTATCTGGAAAGATTGGGAGTATCTCTCAGGAGAAGTGATTGCTACACCATGCTATACCTGGTAAAAAGATCCATTTATTTTATTTTATTTTTTAAAAGATTTACTATTTATGCGTACAGAGATGGGGTACAGTCCAGAGGTGCCATGGAGGTAAGAGGATTGGCCAGAGACAGAGTGGAGAGCAGAACAGGCTGACTAATAATGAAAATACACTGCTGAGGGGAACAGCGGGCGGGTCAGGAAAGCGGCTGGCTATAATGTGGGTCACCTCCGGGGCTGGCGATCGCACTGGCATTGAGTCGGCTGCAGCACGCTTGCAGTGCTGCGCTTTAACCCACTGTGCCACCAGCAAGGGCTAAGATCCATTTATGTCACAAAGCTTTCCTAACTCGTTTCAATTTTAATTATTCTCTCTTTACCTAATGTGGCTGACATGACTTCAGCAAAAACTAATCAAGCCTAAATAAATAAGACTTGAAGGTGGAGAATTACCTAGAGGTATAGTTCCATTATATGTATACCTATTTTTTCAGACCAGAAGAAATTTGTGATGTACAACAATTTGAGAATTAAATTGGAAAAAATATCTCAAGTTTGTAAGTGGTAAATGTCCCAAAGAAAAGGTCACAGTTCATGGAAGACTTTCTGCTTGGAAATCAGTCGTAAAAAAAAATTGAAATATAATTTCCTAAAAATGTAGGTGAAGATTCTAAATTCACAAACACTGTCATGTCGAATATATTTAAATTGACTTGAACATAGAACAAAGCATTGTGTTCTCGTTTCCAGCACAATTTCCTGTGTTCCATTTTTCATTCTATCATCTGTTTTCAGTGTGAGTCAGGTACACTTTCTTGACTTTGCTGTGTTATCTGATAATTTACTTAGTCAAGGAAGTAGATTATGCTTATTTTTCCCATGCAATAAATGTCATATTGAATTCATAATATTGGAAAGGGCTAATATTAGCTCAGTGAATGCTCTTGAACTCAAACCTCCCAAAGTTTATGCATCTTGAAAAAACACTAATTTGAGCCAAATTGTTTAGCCAGGTAATGGTTTTATTTTCTCATAGTGTTTGCCGGCGAGGAATGTTCAATTGCACGTATTATCCATGCCCGGCCATGTGCACCATCTATGGAGACCGGCACTACCATTCTTTTGATGGGTTGGAATATGACTATATCGGTGACTGCCAAGTCTTTTTGATAAAGGTATGTCGCAATTACTCACTTTCTTTTCTTTTAATTTTAAAAATATATTCATTCCATCATCCTTCACTTTTGTACAATGCATGAGTTCCCTGTGAAGTTCCCACCACCCATTCCCCCATGCACCATAGTCCCTGGTGATCTTCCCACCCCTGTCCTGGTCTTTCTCGCTCCTCCTCGACTACAGAATGTCTCTGATCTCTAGTTGTCTGATTTTTATTTTCAATTTATCATCGTTACTTTTTTTCCTGATGCCTTGTTTGTTTCCTCTACACTCCTATAAGTGAGATCATTTGATATTCTTTTTCTCTCTGACTTACTTCACTGAGCAGGATCCCTTTCAGCTCTATCCATGTGTATCAAGTATATTACTGGTATATCAAGTCCATATGTCATTAGTAAAATCTGTAACAGTTATAACAATTTTAAACTAATGCCTTTGGCTCATTCTTAAGTTTTGTTATTTATAATTGTTAAACTTTCTGTGTTTCTATTTTCTCATTTGTGAGGGGCTCAACTGTAGCTGTTTTCTATGTTTTTTCCTAGGATCAGATGAGATAGGTACTTCAAAAGCTCTAAAGAAACTGCTCAAAAAATGTCAACCTTGTTAATTTTTGTTGATTTAATTTGGTGAATACAATAAACCATGTTGAAAATGCCAGCATGTTTAAAAACCTACTTCAGTGGGAAGATAAAAATTGTGGAGTTTATCAAATCACTTTTTTAAGTGTTGTTTCAGGAAATTAGTGTTTAATTAATTTTCTACCTTATCAATGATAGTTAATTCTTAAATATTGTATTGTTGGAAACTTAGGCAAGATGTTTGTGACCTCTTATCCATAAAATTCATCTTCATTATTAATATTAGATATTAAGGTTCATAATTTATTTTTTAGAGTAGTTTTCATGCTTTGATAATAGACCCAATGATTTTATTAAAGCTTAGTAATACAAAGGCACATGGTTTCCAATTAATCAACATTTTAGTTAATTAATTTTTAGTTAATTAAGTAAATAACTAAGTCCACACATTATTTCCCTATGCTCGGAGCTGTTAAGAGTACAATCACTAAGATGTTAGCTTTACCTTCAATTATTTCACATTTGGAGAAATCATTAATAAATAATTTGAAGCTATAAGACTGAGCTGAATGTAAGATGTTTTTGTTGGACTGCCCCTGATTTTTACTAGAATCAGTAAACAGGAAAGTTTCATGGAAGCTGGAGTCTATGGTACTGAGCATTTCACCTTGTTGCAACCTACTTCTTTATCAATATATTTTCAAGTAGACGTCCCTCTCAGCAAAATACTTCAGAATGGCTTCTCAGTGAAGTTCTGGTTATGCACTTGTTAATTCAGTAAATTAACAGTAGGGGGCGATCTGGTAATTTGGGTGTAAAACCCTGAGAGAAAATTGCAGAGGAAATCCTTAAGCAAGACAGTGCTGATAATATGCTTGGACTGAAGAGGTGATAACTGAAGACAGGGTTGTCTCTCTGCAGCAATTCCATGAAAATTCTGATGTCATTCACACCGCTAGAACATCTGTTCACTCAGATTTGTTTGTGTAAATCTCTTTTCTGTATCTTTTTTCTCTCTCTGCTTTAACCCAATCATTTTTTTTTTAAGTTCCTGTGTCCTCCTATCTTATGTTTGGTTTCATCAGGTTAATCCCCATTCTACTTTCTGTCCTCTCTAAGTCTATTAATACATCCTCAGATCGCTAAAACATTTTTAACCACTATTTTCTGGTTCAGCATGTGAGATACCTAATTGACTAGAGATGTGTTTTGACATGGTAGCGCTAAAGTCCCTTGTCCCATCAAGGAACATACTGGATCCAGTAGCTATGAGACATAATACATGGCTGCTCGAAACTTCAGTAAGAGCAGAGACTTTGAGGCAATAGCTAAAGCCAGGGCTATGACAGGTGCTTAGATTGATGTGTCAAACAAAAAAAAATATATTACCTTGAGAGATGATTACACTTTGTGTTTGGAATCACTTGGGATAATATTCTCTACCAATTCTTTTCAGTATCTGGGAATAAAGGGTTGAGGCATCCAGTGGCATATTGATGGTGACCTTTTCCCTTTCGCTTTGTAATCATTACTTACCATGTTGCTTAGCAACTCTGACATTGTCTCCAAGCTTAATATTTACTTAAAATACATGAAAATGAAAGGACTGGAATGTGATTCTTAGAAATTGATATTGTTTCAAGTTACTGTCAGCACATGGCATTACAAGGCAGACCATACAATATAGAGTATATCTTGGCATTTCTGATTTAATATAAAGTATAAATTTGATATAGCACTTTAATTAATGGTAATAGAAATGCATGGCAAAATAGAAAGCACTTCAGGCAACTTTTCATATCCCTTAATCTAAATAACTCCAAGAGGAAGAACAAAATGAAACCTTGAATTATACGTTTTCTTTTTCATGGAAAATTGTTCATGAGGCAGAAGAGTTTTTTCTTTTCTTTTTTTTTTTTTTTTGAGCAGTCAATGCCATAATCATCTTAATGACCCTTATTATTCTCCTTTTCAAAATTTAGGCAATGCTTTGCAAAAAGAATTAAGAAGCAAAAGCTCTCAGTTCCTACGCAGAAAGGAAAATATGGATCACAAGTCGGACACATTAATTACATTGTCAACACTATTCACTGCAAACCTATTCTCCAGGCCCTATACTACAGTAATTACTATTAAGACAGGAAGAATTTGGCTAAACTCAGAGATATATTGAGCTAGTATTTGTATTACTGGTGATGTGAAAAATGAAATATGTGGAGACCTACATGATTTCCAAACATGGAAAAACTTCTCATTATTAAAATAAACACTGAGCCATAGGTCTAAAAGTGAAAAGGATTCAGGAAATGTGTATGGGTAGAGGAATGTCACTATCCTAATAAGAATTATTACCTTTTCCAAGTTCCTCGAAGGACTTTCAGAGTAGTGGTTTAACTTAAGAAGAAATGAGGACCACTAAACATCCAATAAAATCGTGTGCTCTCTTAGAAAAATGCAGCTCTACTTAAGCCACATTTTACAGTGAATTTTCAGGAAATACAGAAGCCCAGCCAAGAAATTAGAAACTGGTGCTAGAGGGTGTTTTCTCAGTGGATGGAGTGGAGAAAAGATGGAAGGAAAGTAAGGGTGAAATGATAGGTGAAGAGCTTAGACAGAGTTTCTGGGATGAAATAATACTCTCTGAAACTAAGGATTCCCTATAACCTAAAATTGACTATTCTCATGAAGCACTGTTATGCTTTTAGTTTTCTGCAAGTGCCATAAAATAAAATAGGGTTTTGAATCCTGTCTCTGAACTAATGATGGTGAACAACCAATTAATCTTTCTTAACTTTTCTTTCCTGATCAGAAAATGGGCATAGCACTTAATTTAAAAAATTATCATAAGAATGAAATGAAATAAAATAAAGTATACAAAGGTCAAAAGAAGACTTCAAGTGGTATGCATATTTTACTTTACTGACATGTACCAACATTTCATTTAGACAGAAAACTTAAAATAATACAAAATACTGTCTAAAATGAAATTATTTAAAATTTCCTCTAAGGGATATATCTTCTTGGATATTCATTGAAAAGGGTTGATAAATTCAAACTATAGTAATAAAATGGAAAACTGTTCAATTAGATTGAAATTTTGACATATGATATTAAACACAAGATATTTTAATACCAGAAATTAAAGATTGAACTACCTTGGTATATTCATATAAAATTCTTCACATTATTATATCCAGGTAATTTTTTTAGAGGTAAGTTTTGTTTCTATTTTATCCGAATAGAAACTTAATATTTGTGAAGCTTAAGTTTTGTTTCTATTTTATCCGAATAGAAACTTAATATTTGTGAAGCTTAAGTTTTGTTTCTATTTTATCCGAATAGAAACTTAATATTTGTGAAGTTTAATATTTGTTCATAAAATAACTTTAAATTGCATAGTGTATTAATAAAATACCAAAATTTAATAAAATACTTTTGACATTCCAGAGTGCTGATGATACAGATATATCTGTTATTGCCCAGAATAAGAAGTGCTTCGACAATGATATTGTTTGTTCTAAAAGTGTTTTGATTTCAGTTGGGGACACTGAAATTTACCTGAATGATGCGCCTTACAAAGAGGTAGGTAAATTATTTTTATTTAATCATTTTTACTTGTTCTGAGGATCCCCAAAATAAAATGGAAACAATTTGGGATACTTTTCTCAGTAAGTGGTTAGAGCATTTAGGTTATTTTTTTCTTTGTCATATTGTATTGCATTAGTAAACCATACCTGTCTTGCCTCTCTTATTTATACTGTTTTCCAATTATGTCCTCTTTCCATCATTCCTCTCCCTACCTGAACCTCATTCTAACCTGAGCCACCACACCTATTACTTAGATTATTTCAACAGCCTCTAACCAGCGTTAGTTTTTCCCTGCTAATTCATCATTCATCTTGCCACATTGCAACCAGGATGTCTTTTTTAAATTGGAGTCTAATTTATGGTCACTCTTGTGCTTTAAAACCTACAAATGACTTCTTATTGTCCTTACAAGACATCCTAAATATGACCCTCTTCCACCTCTCCTGTTTCATCTTACATCATTTTCTGTGACAAGTCATGTCCCAGAATTTGGAAATTTCGTTAGTTCTTCCAAATGAATGCTATATGCTCTTTCTATTATTTCTTGTTCTTTATCTAATGTCACTGTTGCTACTTAGATCTTTCTTTCCATTTACGTTATTCTTAGGTGATAGTTGTCTTCTTATCTCTTTGAGGAAATCTTTCTTGTGTTCTCAAGACCCTGTTAGGACATGGTAAATTTGGTGAAATAGATCCCGCTGCAATGAAATTACTATGTTGCCTGTCTTCTCCATTGAGAATTAGAACCACCATCTCTCTTGATTATTCTTGTATCCTTGGAGCTATGCCATTTGAAAGAATTTCAAAGAATTCAAAGAATTTCATTCATAATACCTACTAGGTGTCAAAGTATGTGCTGATTATTGGAACTACAGTGAAAAAACAATTTTGCTGCCTTTGAAGAGGTAAAACTCAAATCAGAGATACATTCCAGTAAATAAGATAGGGCAGTGTGATGTGCTTCCTGTAGGGAGATGATCTAAATCAATTTGGGCATTTAGAATAGTTGTTATGAGCATAGACTTTGGGCATTTAGAATAGTTGTTAAGAGCATAGACTTTGGAGTGAGTGCTTATGTAGAACCTCATTCCTATCACCTGATAGCTGTGTCAATTTTTGAAACTATCCAGTCTGCAGCTATTCCATCTGTAATTTGGGATCGTTATAGACTATATTTCTTAAGTTCACATGAGACATATAAAATAATGGATTTTTAAAAAATGGTTCTAACTCCTCTTATTTTTATGACTCAGAAGACATGCTTTGGATGAAATGATGTTATTTGAGTCTTGAAAGATAAGTAGGTGTTAGCCAGGTTGTTGGGGCGAAGGGAGAGAGAGAATGAAAATGAAAGTTAATACAGAGCAGCGATCATATTGAAAGGAACAGAGCTAAAAGATAAATGATGTGTTTGGAAAATTGCAAGTGATTGAGCTAGGTTGAAGTGGAGGGAGGGTGTGGCAAAGATTAAGGGTATTGTATTGATTGATTTCAGTTCAGTGGCCCGGAGAGCAAGGAGTACAAAGGAGGAAAATCTTTAATGACACATATATAAGTTTACAGGTAACAAATTTGGGAACAGAGAAATGTTATAATCTGACATATGATCTTTGAATAGTCACCTCCCTCTGAGGTTTAAGAACAGTGTTTCTCAAAGCCTGGTCTGCATAACTCCTTTATGTAAAGCATTTACTATATTATGATAAGAGTTCGTCTCTGGGCTCCACCTGGGCAATCAGAATGGCTGATGTTGAGAATGGAGACTCATATTTTAAGTAGCACCCCAAATTCTTCTGTACACTTTGGTCTAAGAACCAGTATCTTTGGACATAGCTCATATCCCAGTCAAAAACATTGACCCAGCCAGGAAACAACCAAGCTTTGTACAAAATAGAGTTTCTGCAATCATGTTTTCAAATAGCTAATCTTTTGAAATAACTGTAGTAAGCTGGATTTTCATTTATAGTGAAGATTACCTCTAAGAACAAAGGTGAGTTAAAAAAAAAAAAGTGAAGACTAAGTAGTAAATGGCTTTATAAAGACAACTTGACACATTTTGAAGTGGTACTTACTGCTCTGTAACTTTCAACTTCTAATTTTCACATGTATGCAGGTGCTGATGAATCACCTTCATATAGATTGTGAAGTATGAAGTAAGATGGAAAAACTTCATAAAAATAGTTTGACCCTAACAATTTCCCTGCTAATATTTCTTCTCAAACTTTGAAAGTTAAAACATAAGTACCATGTGTTTTATGGCAGATGGATTCCTTATTCAGGGATGGGGAAAAACTTAATTTTTCAATAAATGTACAATTCTAGTTTTATCAAATGTGCATGTTTTGAAAATGTTATGACGATAGCTGCTTTCTTTAACATTTATGCATATATGTCATCTTTCTAACATCTGTAGATGTTGACTAAAGTTCTAGAATTCTCATCTGAAGTGAAGGTCTCTATTTGCGGCAATTCAAATTACTTCACTCTTCCAACCAACAGGCAGCTTCCTTCCTTCCTAATCTGAAAAGAGTACATCACCTTCTTTTGACCAAAGAGAATTGTTCTTATAGTAATCTGGTCTGCTTAACAGAAAGCCCATAGGAAAGATGTACTTTTCCTTCAGGGTACCTGATGCATAACCAGTGTGGAGGAAGTCTAATTATCAACTATCTTAGCCAAAAATCCGTTTTGTGTTCTAATGGTATGTCAGCCAGCCTGAAGGAATGTTAGTAGGAATGGACATGAAAGAACATTTCAAAGATTGAAAGGCCACATATATTCCACTCACCTGCTTTAATTGTTGCTGATCAGCCTGGAAGGAGAGACCTATGAAAAGCCAGTGCAGGAAGGTGTTAAAAATATGAGTACACCTTGACCTCAAAGCTAAGGATACCATCATAAACTTGACAAAGTATATCTTTCAAGAAGCAAACATTCCACTTGGAGGAAGAAAGATAATAAAGCCATAGCCAAATCAGATAATAGAAAGGTACTGAATAATAGGTAATAAAAGCAACAAAAAGTAGATTTTGTGGCAAAGTGGGATTTGGGGTTAGGGACTACATATTTTATGGAGCACGGTGAAAAAGAAAATGTGGGATCCCTTATTCAAAACACACACACACACACACACACACACAAAATGTGTTTTTTTCTTTTTCTTATCATGGCTTATTTTCTTTATTGCTTAGTGTCTATTGTTTAGTGTAATATCAGGTATATTTTCACTTTGAGCTAAAGCTACTCTATATTTCTTCATGGATTCTAGTTCCAATTCCTACCTGTTATCTTTTCTAATGCATCAATTATTTTCTTCTAATACAAAAACTTGATTTGTCACGTTCCTACTCAACAGCCTTTATGGAGTATGGAGTATGTTTTCCACACGGAATAACAGTTCCTGACTATGAGGGTAACTTGGTTGCAAAGGGTCTCTCATTATGCTTGTCATGGAGTCCCTTCCTTCCTTTCTAGTTGCTTTCTTTAGGTCTGAAAGAATCCTTATCCCCCCACCTTTGTCCCTGTATTCAAAGAATTCATCGTTTGGAATGCTTCCATTTCCTCCTCATGTCTAGGGCTCTCTGTCTTTCTAGGTATGACTTCTTACAGATGTGCTCATATCTCATTCACTACAAGAATCCTTCCTAGGTCCCTTTGATGGCAATTCTCCTCCCCTTTCTCTCTCCCTCTCACTTCCCTTCCTTTTGTCTTTGTCCCCTCTTCACTCTCCTTCATTACCCCATACCTCCCCTTCCCTTCCCTATCTTTTTTCTTTTCTCTCACTTTACACATATACACACACGTGCACACACACATACATACACACACGGACACACACACATACACATGGACACACACTTTGTGTTTTTGTTTTTCAGTTTATACATGCAATGTCCTACTTTTTAAGACCAATCTATTAATCATCAACATAGAATTTGCTGAATCAGCAGGCATATCCCCTTACTGCACTTGATGTCTTTGCCCTTTTTAGTGTTTTTTCCACTTTGCTCATTTGGCATGTTGAGCTCACCTACCAGTTTGTGTCTACTTAGCAATACTATGTATTTTGTATTTTATGTGTTTCTTTTAGATACTTATTGGTGAATACTAATATGCTCATTTTCATTGAAGAACGTGCAATTAATTTTATTCTTTTGTTTGTTTGTTTTATTGAAGAAACGATTGGGTTTTTTTCTGGAAAGTAAACCTATATACCAGCTTTGGAAGGCAGGGTATTACATAGTCATATACCTTCCGGAGAAAGATATCACTATTCTTTGGGATAAAAAGACGACCATTCACATCAAAGTTGGACCACAGTGGAAAGTAGGTCAATTCAAATGAGATGCAAAAATAACCTCATATCCACCTTTCCCATGGTCTTTGGAAAGATGATGTGTCTTCTAAGAGCAGGGACAATGTTGCAAGTAATATTCTTGGCACTTTTAATCTTACTTAGGGTTATCTTATTTTTGCTGGTGACATGGCCATGAATTCTACCATTCTGTTCAGTATGGTAGTATATGGAAAGTTTAGTTTGTTTAATTTCAGTGATTAAAGAGGATTTGTGGAAGATCATTCTGCCCTACACTGTAATAGAATGCCTTCCCTAATTGTAAAGTTTTTCTTAGTATTTGAATAATGCAGTCAGTATTGTTGATGTGAATAATCTGTAGGGCAATTATGGAAGCTATTTCACAACTCATAATAACCTTTATTAAAACTAGGTACAATGTTTATTGTAGCATGATATGTGATTGTTACATTAACTTTTTCTTTAAAAGTTATGAAGGAAATTATTTTTATTATTTCAGTATTTATAGTGTTATGAAAACTTTGTGTAGATAGATGAAGTTGGCATAATGGTAAAACTGCTTTGGGAATTATAAAAACATTAATTATATTTGAATAATTAGGAAATTCCACCCTCTTAAAAAATCTTAAATATTTCTTTGCAGAAATTATTGAAGAGCCTAATTTAAATCTTTATAAAAATTCATGAATTTATGTCCTTACATGTTGAAGTATATTTCATGTTTTTTTGTTTGTTTTTTACTTTAGAACAAACTATCAGGATTATGTGGAAACTTTGACAAATGTACTTCCAATGATATGACAACTTCTAATAACATAGAAGTGAGAAATGCCCAGGTATTTGGAGATAGCTGGGCATTAGGACAGGTAAGTTTATATATAAAAAAGAAGGAAAGAAGGAAGCAGCAGAGACCCAAATGCTGAATATTTGGGAAGTGAACCTATGGGCATTTGACTAGCCACTTAGCAGATGATTGTGACAGAAGTAAGAGAACAATTGGCTTATGTAGTCTTTCCAGTCATGTAAATGTTGGATTAAAGACAATTTAAAAATTATTTACTTCTGTTCTCTACTGCCATGATCTTGTTAGTGTGTTTAGTTGCTTTCAAAAATAATACATGCTGTTATGATGGAGTTTCTGAGGATGGGTGCTATAGATAAAAACCTTTCTGAAAGAATAAGATGAGACTTGATGTGGTTGTAATGGATGAATTTGTGTTATTTCCAGCTGGTTCCAGCTTCAGAAATCACCCCTTTAAAAACTTGTTTTTTTCTCTAATTTTTGTCAACAGTGTGAAAACCCAAATGGATCATTTAAACCCTGTGAGGCACACCAAAACAAATTTCCTTATGCCAAGAAAGAATGTTCCATTTTGTACAGCGATGTTTTTGCTCCTTGTCGTAATGTGGTAACTGAATACATTAGCAAACTTTGTGATTTAAACATGTTCCAGTGTATCTATAGTATTGGCATGAATGGAACAAATAATTTACCCACCCATTGACTTTGTAGGTCTCCTACTTAGCCATTGTCAAGATAAATTTGGTCATTTGTATTTCTATAGAAGTGATGCAATTAGTCTACTTTTTTGTCTCATTCCATTTTTCTAACAGTGTATATTTGTACATGATATTTTAACTCATTCACTAGGTCATGAAACATTTTGACAAGTATCATCAAAGCCACAGGTGCTATTTTTTCCCCCCAAGGACATTGCCAAGTGGGCATTTTTCTCCTGAACCTAGATTACAGTTTAAAAGTATTTAAAATAGGGGGAGGGGAGAAGTGCACTGGACTATGGTGATGGCACATGGTTGATTTGGTGATGGGAAGCCCACGGGGATTACCACTGAGAGGGAAAATGGTGCAAAGTGATGTAAAAATAAACTAAATAATATATTAAATTTAAAAATTGCAAAAAAGTATTTAAAATAGTTTTAAAATGGAAGTACCCTGAGATAGAATGAAATTTATTTAGAAATTTAATTTTTTAAATTAATTTTTTCTAACATAGTTATTTCAGCTCCAAATAAATTTGAAAATAATGTGTGCTATTCATAAAAACCCAATCAAAAGACAGCTAGAAGCAGAATACTTTTTTTTAAATTTATGGACTTTATTTAATAATTTATCGCATTGGTTCATTAAAAATCACAAATGAACCACAATAATGTTACAAGTAGGAGAAACTGGAAGCCGAATACATATGTACATAACACTGAACTATCTTTGAGAACTATTTTTTCTTTTAATTTATTTTTTATTATTTTATTTTTTTACATCATTCTTCATTTTTATACAATGTATGCTTTATTATGTTGGGTGTAATCCCAGTGAAATTCCCACCACCAATTCACCTCTGCACCATCACCATAGTCCTGGTCCTCTTCCCAGAATACTCTTAATGTCACATGAATATGTCAAAATGGAACTAATGATCTTTTACAAAGTATTATGTGTTATATATCTTAGCTGTTATATATGGCATATGTTGAAATAATAATTATCTTTTTAGTACTGTTTTAAATCTTTGCCGAATCAATTTTTTGTTCTTGATCAACAGAGGTTTGAAATGTACCCTCTAGGTGGCGGTATTGAGCTGATATAAAATTTGAAATTATAGCAGTTTTCTTTAAAAGGTAGAATTCTAATCAATTGTAGTTAGCACAATGTGGAAATAATTTTATTTTTCACTTCGTTTCTAGATTGATGTCACTTCCTTTGCCAAAAATTGTCATGAAGACACGTGCAACTGTAATCTTGGTGGGGATTGTGAATGTTTGTGCACGAGCGTAGCTGCCTACGCATACAAGTGTTGTCAGGAAGGGGTGTCAGTTCACTGGCGATCATCCGGGCTTTGCTGTGAGTACTGACTTGGAACAGCCTCATTAGGTGGGAACCTTAGGAGGAGATCCATGTTGTTTTATCTGAGTTACTATCCTAAGACTCATGTAAGCAGAATTTAAATTCTAAGTTTCAGATGAAATATTTATTATTTGACGGTGGAGATAACTTGTGATGTAGCAAAAACATTTGTCAAAAAAACTATTTGAAGTTATTTTGTGTTTGACTGCTCTTACTGTGACATTTGAACTATAAAAAGGTTATACCTTTCTGAGAGAAATTACTGCTCTACCCCTCTTAGAATAGTGAAGTTACACTGCTTTGATCATAAGGTACACATTTTGTAAAAAAAAAAAAATCATTTTGAATTCAGTTTCAGATTTGACTCCTCACTTTTCATTTGGTTGTGTAGATGGACGTCGTCTGAAGAGCAGCTTATGATTTTAACACATCCAGTTGACATTTCTAAACTACCACATATATATGTCTATCTAGAATCAATTTAAATAATTACATCATTTAAAAAAATTATTTATTTATTCATACATAACTGGGGTATAGGCCATAGGTGCAGAGGCGGTGAGAGGATTCACCAGAGAGCAGGGAGCAGAACTGGCAGATCGGTGAAGTACACCACTGAGGGGAGCCGTGGGCGGGTCAGGAGAGGTCTGTTGCTCCAAGTGGTCACCTTCCAGGTGGGTGGACATCAAACTCATGCTGAAGTGGCTTTAGCTTCTTATTGCTGTGATTTAACCCACTGCAGCCACCAGGGAGGGCCAATTACATCATTCTTAATGAATCTTCCTTTTCCAAGAAAGTTGACAAATAACGATGCTATTCTAATTCTTTCATTTGATTTCTCATAAACATATGGCTCAAATCTAACCTATTTAGTTAATTACTTGCATTCTTAAATAATGTTTTTCTTTTTTTCTTTTAGCACTTGATTGTGATTACTACAATGAAGGTTTGTAACATTTAAATAAAGACTATAACTATAGATTCTATTGGATATATTTTCAGATTAAAAGGTTTTGAACATGGGGATGAAATCTGAGTAGTTTATATTTTGGCATACAGCTTAATGGAAATCTTTAATTTTAAAAATTAATCTAAATTTCTCAGTATTTACATTCATATTTATTTCCTGGGAAATAGATATTAAGTTCTCAACATTTAGGAGCCCTTCAATGAATAATTTTTGAGTGACATGAAAGAATGGGTGAATTTAGCTAATTTTTTTTTAGATTAAAAAGGATTAAAAAATATATGCCAAATGCATACATTTTACCTTTACATATAGATATGAACATTGCTTAAACTCTTATTATGTTGTAGATTTCAAAGAAAAAATATAAATTTAATGATAATGTAATGGAATTACATTATAATGTAAGGAATTTAGGTAGCTATCATTGTAACCAAACATAATTATTTATACATTAATAGAATGAGAAATAATAGATTTAATAATATCCTTAAAAATTGCCAGAGGGTAACAGAAGTGGAGCATGCTTTGTCAAATCTATTTAGTGAGGAAGGCACAGCTCCTTACACTTAATTCACACAAGTAAGATTAACCAGGAGGTATTCATTTTGTCAATGCCTAGACACTCTGGATCTATGACAGATGTTAGAAAAGTCAGATCATTATCAACACCCCAAACCAAGGTACTTTAGATATTTTATTGAGCCAGATAGAAATCTGCTAGCTATTATTGTCCAAAAAAAAAGCTAGATAATTTTTGGGAAGAAAAACAGCTAGCATTATAAAAATCTTTGGGTTAGTTAAAGAAAATCTAAACCAAAACTATTTTCTTCTTTGGAATTTTAACTGCACATATGTGTGCATAGGTACACACACACACTCTCTCCACCCTTTTGATTCCATGCTGAAAATGAGACTTAGTGTCTAATATTAATATCAGAAATAATAACAGTAGCTTTATTGTGTTAACTCTTTACCTTCACCATGTAATTTAAGCTCCAAAATATATCTGCAAGACAGGTATTATGATCAACACTTTACAGAGGAAGCAACTGAGACAGAGGAGGTTAAATCACTTGGCCAAAGTTATTTAACCAAACTGTGATAAACTGGGATTTGTAAACAATTTTATTTCCAAACCACCAAGCCTGACCTCCATGCCACTCTCTCTAGTGTATGGCTATCACTTTCGGTTTTACTATGCTACCAGGGAGGACCTGAACATTGAATCTCTATCTTGGTACTTTGCTTTGTTTCAACAAGGCCCCTACACTCACATTGAAGGTCCTTTTTTTCTGATGTATTACAAGATACTTAGTTTCATTTGTAACATAGCATTGAAGATAGTGAGAGAATGAACATGGGCATTTAGCCTTCATTCATGGACAAAGTGGTATGACAGGGAGTCTTTCCTGTGACCAAAGTGATAAAGAAGGAAAAGCATGAATCTACCAAGTAAGAATTGATAAAGGTAATATGAAGATGGATGATTAGAGGAAAATAGAGAATATAAAGATTGTTGATACTAGCAATAATAATAATAAAAAAAAAGCCCCATTTGAAATCACTAGTTTTGTTTCATCCCAAATACTTTCATAGATATTATAAACTTGCCTAGTTTCTTTGGACTTTTATACTGACATGTTTCTCCAGATTCTGTACTATTAAGATACTTCGGCTTTTTAAAGATAATGCAGAAATAAATATTTGTCACTATGCAAGTAGAAAATAGGAAAATCTAGAGGTTACAGTTGAGATTATTTCAGTAATTCTTTTTTTTTTTAAAGATTTATTTATTTATTTACACAGAACTGGGGTATAGGCCAGAGGCTCAGGGGCAGTGAGAAGCTTCACCAGAGACAGAGTGGGGAGCAAAACAGGCAGATCGACGAAGTACACTGCTGAGGGGAGCAGCGGGCGGTCAGGAGAGGTCTGCCATGCCATGTGGTCACCTCCAGGGCAGGCGGGAATCGAACTCATGTGGAAGTGGCTTTAGCTTCTCAGTGAAGTGCTTTAAGCCGCTGCGCCACCAGGGAGCGCCTATTTCAGTAATTCTTAATTGAAAACTTCAATAACTTAATATTTATTTTATGGCATTTGCTAAAATTATAAAGATTTTATTGTTGCTGAAAATTGTTGTGTAAATTTTAAGTTCAGAGTGATTTTATTAGATGTGTAAAAATATTTAAACAACCACTAGATGATTCCTATTAGTAGATAGTGAAATTATATTTTTCCCTGAAAAAAATTAATAACAAAGTCAATGATTTTTGTCACTAATTTGCTGGTGAAAAAGCAAAATAATTCAGATGCAAGGTATCAATTAACTGGGAATCAATTCAGAAGCCTTCAAGTTTTATGCAAATAGTTTTCTCAGATAACAGTGGTTTTTCCAAGGTTGCTGTAAATAGGGACTTAGGCAGTTAGGGAGAGATTGTGTTTAGTTGTCTGTTTTTACCTGTGCTATTGTTATGTTGAACGCCTGTGAGGGTGTTCAAGAACCTTAAATTTTAGTTTCACTTCATTTTGATTTGTACCTCATCATAATTTTCATATTTTTCTACTTAATTGTAATTTAGTTACCTATTTATATACATTAGTATATTTATGAATTGAAGTATATTTGTAACTTGGAAGTTTATGTTTCTTTTGTCTTTCCTATATAGTGAGCCAGTAGATGGTAGAGAGGAAGGACATAGTTTTCTTTGGTTGTTGATTTGTCCTCATAAGAAAATACTGTGTATAATATATGGTATACATTGTAACAACAGCAGGGAGTCCATTGCTTCCAGGCTCACATGAGGAATAATTATATTCCAAATCATCATATTATTTTGAAATAAAGTTCAGTTATTTTATTTATTAATAGGCCTTTAAATGCTCAAAAATTTTTGGAGTGTTTTCTGTTTTTAAAATGTTTTCCATTGAAATGACAGTTTGAAATAATACTCTCTACAAACTTATCATTCTCCTATTTGGATTTAATTAGGGCTTGGAGAAGGACCATATATGCTGGCAAATTATGGACAGAGTGGCCTAGTTCTGGGGGCCAACGTGACCAGTAGAAGCATTTTCTCTTTACCAAGCAGTGGTATTCATGGCAATTTATTTTTTAATTTTATGATCACTCCAGGCCTTTTTAAAGAGAAGACATCATGTGAGTACCCTTGAAAATGAGAATTCTTTTCCATTTCCATTTTTTTTTTCATTCAAGAAGTGACTATTAATCTAATACACTGGTGACATGTCCCTATATACCATAAAGAATATAGAATCAAATATGTCACTGGGATTGAATCAGCTAACTATTTTGCTTATAACACTTTTTATCAGTTATTATATATATCATAATTGCAATTATTTTATTGAGATTTTTGCATTAAAGAAAGCACAGTTTATGTTTATGTAGTAGTATAGAACTTAATTAAAAATTTTTGAAAAATAGTTTACAGATAACTAACATTTGAGAAATTTACCACCATGTTAAAATAAAGGTAAAACTTGTGATTTAGTATCAAAGAAGCTAAGTATTCAAGAATATAAAGTAGAGTCTAGGTGTGTGTTATAGTTAGCCAGGCTAACAGTTGCTATATTAACCCTACTCAGGCACACATGGTGTGTCCTGTAAGCTTAGGAAATATTTATACAATGAATGAAAATGCCTTGAGAAATCTCTTGATTCTCCAGTTGGACTAAATTCCTTCTTTCTTGTAATAACTTCTTTGACTCAATTTAGTCTATGAAAACATTCACCAAGTTTGAGGTTCTAATTTTATGTTTATATTTAACATATATACACAACATTATATATATATATATATATATGTAGATACACACAAATTCATACATGCCTGCATAGATTCATCATATCAAGGTTTCTTTTATTCTTTTTGCACCTCTCAATACTCAGCAGAGGAACTCACATGTTTCTAGGACACAATAAACACCTTTGGAATTACATATTGGGTTTGAGTTTTTCATTTTATGGTTTATAATAACTGATATTTTAAATATAAATTCCTAATGAATTTGAATTAGGAAATTAAGACCTAAAGAAACTAAATCAAATAATGGGTTTTACAAATAGAAGATGAACTTTTAAGGTAATAAACAAAAAAAAGATACATTTCAAATGCATTGTATTTATTCATTAGCCATTTGATCTTCTTTTGGGAAATGGGCAATAATGTTAAGAATCTTTTTCTAATGAGCTAAAATCACTTACAATATTTGTTGATATTGAGAAGGAGGTATGTGCCTAAATTGATCTGTTTCTCTATGTACTTATTTTTCTAGCACTCTTAGTCATTTGTAGATTTTGTGCTTTTGAAAATGTTAAAAGCATACACACAAATATGTGTCCAATTAATCATTGAGTTCTTTGTATGAAATTGTACATTCTGGGTGCTTAAGATGCTACTTCTTTTTTTTCCCTAAAGAGATGATAAATTATTTAGAAACTAGAACTCATCAAATATTGATTTGGGGGGAATTGTCACTGTTACTCATTTCACTAAAATGGTACTTTGGGGCCCTCCTTGTGGCACAGTGGGTTAAAGCACCGCACTGTGAAGCCCTCAGAAGCCACTGCAGCACAAGTTCGATCCCTGGCCAAAGAGCTGACCCACATGGCATGGCAGACCTCTCCTGACCTACCCGCTGCTCCCCTCAGCAGTGTATCTCAGTAGATCTGCCTGTTCTGTTCTCCACTCTTTCTCTGGTAAATCCTTTCACTCAACCACACCTCTGGCCTGTACCCTAGTTCTGTTAGCATAATTAAATAAATCTTTTTACAAATTGCTACTTTTTCCTTCAGCAGTCTTTTAATTCATTTCTGGTATTTTTTAGATCGGCATTAATTATGTATGGTAACTGCACAGATCTTTTTGTCAGCCTTCTACGTACATTGGTACATTGTATAATGCCAGTGTGGATGACCTGCCTTCCCCAGAGGCCCTAAGGAGTCATTAAATACTCTGCTCTCCTTTACAGCCTTGACACTTATTTCCATGGAATCTGCTGAAAGGCCAAACTACTTTCTCTATGTCCATGATGATGACACTCTTAGTTTGGAACTGTGGGAGGCAAATTCAGCCTTTCGTCGGAGAGCCACATTTTTCCACCACCAAGGCCTCTGGATTCCTGGTTACAGTGCTTTTGAATTATACAGCAAGAAAGGCTTTTTCATCATATTCACAGACTCTAGTGTCAAAGCATCAAAGTATGATGATTCTGAAGAATTTAAGCATGCAAGTAGCTTCAGCATAGAAGGTATGTTTCCTGAGATCTTAAAAAAGAGAGTAATTCGATAATTTACATAATGGTAGATTATTTGCTTGGTTTTAATTTTTCAATCTTTGTGTGTAAATATATAGTTATATGACCTTGAGTAAATTTCTTAAAATATCTGATACTTTAGGCACCTATAAATGGGTTATTATAGATGGGTTTATGGAATATAACAACATATTGTATTATATAACTTACTATGGAAAAAATTTCTTAGAGCAATCTTAAATTTTTATTGTTGTCCCAATTCTTTCTCTGACCTCTGAACTTTGGAAATAGAGCTCACCTTTACCTCATCACTGTCTAGTGTTTATCTATTTTTTTCTTTCTTGGAAAGGTAACTTCCCAATAATATCCCTTTTCTTAGGGATAAAGACATGTTTATCTCTGTCCTTTGAACACTAGGGTGTCTGATTCCACTAACCTCTGGAAGATTTGCCTGTTTCAACAGAAGTTTGATCTTCTCTCTAGAGAACATTACACTTCTATGGCTTTTGGATTTTCTGTTTCAGAGAAGAATCCTCTCTGCTTCATCCAACATTTAAGAGCTATCTTTTATTTTCAAACACTAAGAATTTAATATCTCTTCCCAAACAAATTGTTTTTTCTAACCAACTCTTCTAAATCAGTTAAAGGGAGCTAATCATTTGTCTTTTTTGTCGTGGATAAATTTCTGTAAATCTTGAACATTTTGGGTTTTAGAATGTTCTAGTTAAGCTTTAAATTTTTACCTACTGAATAGCTCTTGCACTCAGAAAAGAAAATCACTGACATGCCCAGATATCAATTAGATGTCATATTTTAAGTTGAATTTACTTAAAAGTTGAATTTCACAAAGCTGCTACTAACCCTCTAATCTAGAAATCAGCTGCATTAAAAAAAGACCCAGCAGTCCACCTTCGGCGTTGGACAATTGCAGTCAGTGGCCTCACCAAAATGTCAGAAACTGATCTTTGTGGGATTTTTTAATCTGAGCGATGCCAGTTGCCTATTCTGGTCTGGGAACGCATACTCTTGTCAGTAACCATGACCTCAGCCATCTGCTCTAATCTCTAGATACACAGATGTTTACCACAAAGTCTTATTTTTCTTCTCATACCTATTTTTCTTTCTCTTCCTTACTGAGTTCTCTTAAGAGTTAGACTGGACTACCTCAGAAGAACTCGTTGATAATATGGGAAGAGGAGCTTATTGGAAGAATTTGCAAGAGAAAAATACTCAACTAGGAAGGTTTACAACTATAAAAATGAGCTGTTAGAATGTTAGAATCCACTCCTGTATTTTTTTTTTTTTTTTTTT